TCTAATCTTCCACGGTTGCCTGTTACATTCACGCTCGCACGTTTTGCACATAAACTCATTGAAACTCAATAATATCTGTCCTGACTATGATAATAATAATAAGAAGGAGAAGAAGAATTGTAACAATGTCAAGAATATACTCTTTTTTGTATCAATAGTAATTGCATCGCAAAGTTTTATGATTCCAACATTAAAACGAAGCCGACATTCGTTTTATTTTTAATTCTTTTTAATCAATTTATATTGTCGAATTCTATTTTCTTTTTTTTTAACATTGGGACTATGAAGAGCTGGACCATTGTGTTCGGTTCTCACTGAGTTGAACGAAAATATCTTACGACGTTATTTATTTCACTTATTTCTGCGTCACTTTTGTCACTTTGAGTTCGGTTGTTAAAATCAAAAATCACGATAAATAACTTCGTCCGGTCCTTAACGATCCAAACGAAAATATCTCACGATGTTGTTTACTTTGTTTGCCAATACGTAATTTTGTTACTTCGAGTGACTTTCAACTGTTTCGTTTATAGTTTCTTGCGAAAATTTCTCCGTGAAATATAACTTACGACATATTCATTTATAATTTAATCACTTCCACGCTCGTGCCCAAAGATCCAAAAAAATTCAATTCGTTGAATCAAGTCTTGAATTAAATCTCGTTTCAAATAGACGCGGAATTTTGCTGTATTTTTTTCGATCTGTCGACTCTGTTTACTTAATTATACTACGCGACGAGACTTGACGTGAAAACGAGAAAGGAAGAAAATCGCAAGACCAGCGATTCACCGAATAGACATCGATTCGTCGCGATGATGGTCGTTTGTAAATGGAATCTCGTTACAATTTTAACGCGATATCGAGCGAGTCCGTGCGCGGAACAATGGGACCAGCCCGGAGCATCGCCTAGAAACCGTTCCTCTCGGTAACAATTTTCTCTTTTCCTACCCCTCTTCTTCGTTCTACCTACCCGTACGCTCTGTTTTTCTACATCAATCTTCCTCTCTATCCTCGCTAACGGTTTCCATGATCCTCTTTGTCCTCTGTTTCAATCCTCTTTCTCTCTCTTTCTCTCTTCGTGTCTCCACCCCTTCCTTTTTGTTTCTAGTTGAAGCCTTCGTCTGTTTATACCTCGACGTGACGAGCGCCAATCGAAACAGACAAATCTAACAGTAAGGTATTTTGCGTCTGGATATCCACGATTCGAACGATTCCAAGTTTAAAAAGGTCTTGTTGAAATCTAACGAAGCCTACAGCAAGATTTTCAAAATGAAACAAAAGCACCAATTACTAATTATTAAAAAATTAATTTACGTAATGTGCGTAGTATATTTGAACTTGATGCATATGTGTGTGCTTTAATTAATAATATCAAATCACATCCAAATTGCGTTCAATTTTACTAGAAATACAAAAGATATTGAGAATTGTGCAAGTCGTTTTTTTACAGTTGCTTAAAAGATGCGAACATTTCTCTCAAAATTAGTATTAGCAGATTTCTGTTTGCAACGTAAACGTAATTATAATTAATTTTAATTATTGTCATTTAAATTACTGTCGCTGCGAGTCACTTTTCATTGATTACAATTTGCAAGCATGCAAATACTTTCCTGTCAAATGCAAGAGTTTAATTATTATAATACGTTGTAATAACATTGTAATACATTATATTACATAATCGTTACAGTGTTACAACCAGTGTTCCATTGACTGAAGATTTTAGACAACAAAATTACGTTTGCAATCATTTTCAATCAAAAATAAGACTTGCACTGGATTGACCTGTTCGCAGAAAATTGAAGATTTTGACGTTGTTCTAATGTCAATCGGTAGTATCGACTAAAATTTAGCTCAAACAGAGTTTTACTTCAAGTTCTACACACACACATACACACACGCACACGCACTCTAAACACGTACAAAATGCTATTGACTCATCCTTCGACGGCAGAGTCATTCCAACCTCGACTCGTGCCCGTCGCGTATAAACGAACCTAAACCTCCCTTCCTCTGATGTTTCGACTATGTTCGCGCACCCTCCCGATTTCCTCGCGTGTGTTTCAACACGACACACAGAATCTTCCTCCCCCTGCCACTGTTTCACGGCTGGACCCGCTAACTGAGCATAATAAAGCGATCCATCCGAGCCCTCGTATCTCTCTATTTATCTTGCTCAGCCGGCTTTTTCCATCCCCTGTAGAACGTAGACCGGTAGACAGTAGCAGGTAGCCGCGCGATAACGATACGTACAAGAGCCACGAGCTTACACATGTACCTTCCTCCCTCCTCTCTCTCTCTCTCTCTCTCTCTCTCTCTCTCTCTCTCTCTCTGTCTATCTATCTCTATCTCTATCTCTCCTGGCTAGCTGGTTAAAAGCTACCCTCTCCTCCAGCCGTGAAAGAAGAGAAACGACGCGATTTGAAAGCGAGGAAAACAGCGACAGTCGAAGAAGCAACGACGCTGAAACATCGTAAGGGTACATCCACATCCGTCACGTGTCGTACATACCGTTCCTGATTCGTCGAGAATCATTTCTAACATTTTCTCGTACGTCTGTTCGCAGCTTGATTTATTTGATTTATTTGATTTATTTGACCCCTCTCTCGACGATTTACATTTCCTTCTCCGTTCATCGTGTTTTTCACTTTGTGGACTTAATTGGGAAATTTTTAATGTCTGTTCACTAGCGACATTCGGGCACATAAATTCGAAACTCAGATTCTTGCACGCGAGGACGAATTATACGCAGGGTGTTTCAAGCGTTCAACTTTTGTCAATGCGTTCCGTGGAAATATCTTGTAACGAAGCACTTGCGCATTCCGAAGTAAGTCGTCTCTCTCGTTATCGATGTGAAGTTGATATCAACTGTTGAATTTATCGTGCGCCGGATCTCCTCGTGTCCATTTTGATTCGCGCAATCAGTTCACCGCGAGTGGATATATCTGCATTGTACGATAAACTTTCGCTTACAGAGTTCCTCGCTTTATATACCTCGAGCAGAGATCGTAAGGGTGTAAGACAATAATGCACCATCTTCCCTTGTCCTGCGTTCAAATAAAAGGAAGAGTATTTCGTCGAGAGACACTCACATCTTATTCTTACCCATATACGTCGTTGTATTCTTACCCATAGAACCTCAGAGTGCCTTTGAACACTGACACGCGAAAGATCCTCAGGTATAGCTACGGGACACCGTAGCTTCTTACAAACAAATGTGTGTACGCACCTTAACGGGGCGAAACGCGAGATAAAAACCGGCCCTTGGAGAGGAAAGAAAGGAACGCAGAGTCAGCGGGAGTTGCTGGAGAAAGGGAGAAGAAAACAGGGGGTGGAAAAATGAAAGTAGGTGAGAGAACGAAAGAGGAGAGAGAGAGAGAGAGAGAGAGAAGCGAACCGATACGGAGGAAAAGGGAGAAACCGGGTGAAAGAGTCTGGTAGGAATCCATTAACGAGTGCCGTTTTCATACCTCTTCTATGCCTCTCTCTCTCTCTCTCTCTCTCTCTCTCTCTCTCTTTCTCTCTCGTTTTCGTTCTCGTTCTCCAGCTGCCTCCCGCCTCTCCCTTAGCTCGGTCTTTCTCTCTTCTTTTTTTCTTTTTTTCCTTTTTGCTGTCTGAAAGAGCACCTACCAGCACAATAGATCGTTCATTACCGATACCGGGTGCCGGGCGCGACGGCGGACCCAGCCGAAAGTAGAAAGATAATAATGCGAGAAAGGAAGAGACGTCGAAGGCGCGAGTCCTCGTCGCGGCTGTATGCGTATATAGAAGTCGTCGTCATCCAACCCCCGCCTGCTCGTCCGCGAGTGTCTCGGCAATAGCCTCGGCGCGCTTTAAGTGCTAAATGGGAAAATGTATCGCGGGCGTCGATTTTTTCTTTTTCTTTTTTTTTTTTTTTTCTCTCTTTTTCGTCGCTTCTCCCTAACGAGCATCCGCGAGGATCCGCGTGAATTTGCAGGGATTGCGCGTACGCACGTCGAGGCGGAGAATGTGGATAATTTGTCGCCGAAGATTTGGCTGCTCCGTTGTATCGTTCTCTTTGCAAGTTTCGTTTTGCATCAGGAGAGAACTTCGCCTACTCTTGCAAGGGGACAAGCGTCAAGTGACCGATTTTGACGAAATTTAGCATGAACGTAGTTTTCAAGAAAAATATATTTGACACGTCTTTTCTTTTTTTTTTATATATGCAATCGTCGGCGTTGAAGGGGGTAAAAACTATCCTCAAATGTCGGAAATCACTGAAGATACAGTTTATGTGAATTTGACAAAGTTAATGTTTTTTTTAACGAGGAACTTAATGATGTGTACCATTCTGCGAGAAAACCATTTGTTCAAACAATATTTAAAAAACCGTGTTTTTCGTCATTTTTCTGATAATTTTTGCGAGCGAATGTATAATACATTTTACTTGTTTATGAAAACCATGTATTCAAACACATGTTACTTCTTAGAGGTTGGCTAGGTTCAATTTAGAGAAATTAATTGTCGAATAAGGAGAAATTGAGAACCACTGTTTCGATCGATAATACAATAATGACGAGTCGACTAATCATCAAAAATGCTTCTTCAGCGAGCAAACGATACGAGGATAATGGTTGGAATTTTTACAAATACTTTCGTTAGATCGTTGGAGATGAAGTGGCCAATTTCTTGATGTAAACGCATGCGTATAATTATAAAATAATTCAATAATTCTAATTACATTTTAAACACGTTGATCTTTATCTTATCAATACGATAAAACAATTGCCTTATATTTAAAATTAATATTAAGGCCATGAGTGGAAATTTCAAGGATCCCTTCGACATAAAATGTAACAGTAATGCTGCAATTAACAAAATATAACAGTAACATTTAGTCATAATGGAATTTATGAGAGATTGTGGCGGCGAATTACGATGAATTATTGCTTGATGTGTCCTTAATGGGTTCGGTGTTAATAAGCGGAGAGAAAAGATTCTCAAACTTTCGGGAACTTAACGAGCCATTTTCACTCTGGTTTCAGCGACACGTCAGAGCCGTGAACAGTCCCGGAAGTGACAGGACAGACAGGATACAGCCGCGACCACCGATGGCGGCCGCGAGCTTTCCGCCAAACTTCTCGAACGTCGGCATATTGGAGAACTGGTAAGTGACTGTGTCACAGCTTGTCACGCTTTCGAATTATTACTAGAAGCCTCTTAAAGAGTCTCGAAAGCTTCGTTAAGATTAGAGGTTGCCGCGTGACTGGACCGGGGAATTCGCGCAGCCGCCTCGTTCGCCATTTTCATCCTCTCTTTTTTGCTCGTTTCCTCAATTTACGAAATTTAGGTTAATCCTCGGGTAGAAAATTGGCGAGAGAAACCGACGAGGAACAATCGTTTGAACGATTTGAAAAATTTTGGAAACGGGTGTTCGTGTCGTTTGTTACTCTCACGAGGTTTCAAATTTGATAATATATTATATTTGTTTTCTTTAAGTTGAAATTCCTTTGAAGGAACAATCGGCACTTGAAAAATTTTCCTCCTTTCGCGATAATTTATTTCCAAATACGTTGAATATATTACAGAATGTTGTATCGAAAACTATTCTATTTATTTATTATATATATATATATATATATATATATATATATATATGTAGACACGGAGAGAATAGCAGCTTTAATTCGTATTGCACAATTATTTGTTAACTATTCATTTAACTCATTAAAAATTTCGTCTGTGAAATCGATGATGCGACACTAGCGCCATACGAGCGTTAACTAATGCCATTGACTTTCACTCGAAAGTTTAACGCAATTTCTTCACAGTCAGAAGTCGAAATGTAATCAAACTCAAGATGATAAAAAGCACTTTAATATCCAGAGATTAAAATTAAACATCAAACTCAGTTTAAATTAAATTAAAAATACTTGGAACACTTGGACTAAAGCACCTTCTTCCGTACTAAATTCAACCTTTCGGTGTGTATACTCGTTAAATTCAAAAATTCGAAAATTCACCAATCGAACCTCAAACGTCCAATAATGTCAAAAGTTAGTCGTCTCGCTCGCTTAGCCTTCTAATTTCGTCAAGCAAACGACGCGAAGTGTACGAACCGCACGGACATATATCGAACGACGTGATATTTCAGCGATAGTTGAAACAATCGAGGCGTCTGCGCGTCATCGGCGTACAAAGTGAACCCCGTAGTGTTCCCCGTTGAAAGCTTTGTTTGAGCATTGAATATCTATTCGTAGTGCATGTTGTTTGTGTGTGACACGAGCGTCGATTAGAATCAACCGAGGATACGGAAGAAAATCTCGCGAGAAAAAAGTGGGAGACTTTGGTGGCGAGAGGCATATTTCCCCGCGCTACGCCCTTTGACAATTATTATTGTATTTCGCGCTTCGAAAGCGCGGCGAAAGCGGGGAAATTCGAAAACTGCGGGAAGCCTGGTTAGGTGTATTAAATCCCGAAAGAGGTCTGGCAATCAAGTTTGCCGTGGCTCTCTTGATTAACTGTCACGGACGGAGTGGATTAGACGTGGCGTCGTGGTTTCTTTTTTTTTTTTTTTTTTTTTTTTTTTTTAAACAAGATTTTCAATTTTCGTCATTCTGACTCATCTCTGAATTTCGCATAACGATTTTTATACCGCTAATGAGCGCAATTAAAACTGTCGTGTCAAATCGCATAAAAACATCATTTATACGTGAAGAACGTTTCAACAATTTGTTGTTCAACAGCTCTTGATAACTGGCCATTTTGTTTTAACGCGTTTTAAAAGGATTTCTCATTTTGTAATTTCAACACTTTGTCACTTTTATCAGAGGATCTTCGAATATTCGCACTGTGACGTTCCAACTTTCATGTCACTGGCGGATCCAATTAAAATTGTCAGATACGTTATTCGCATCTGCTGCAAACGTTTCGTTAGGATATCTCGGAAAATCGACGACACAAACATTCAAAAGAAACTTCATCGTTGGCGTAGGTATCATCGAGAGGAAACTTATAAACATTACCATTCCATTATATCACGTTTCTTGTACTACGTAGGAGGAGATAAATTGGCAATTGTTCGTAACTTATGCGAATCCAATACATATCCCTAATCAATTATAACGTAGTGATATAATTTCACATTTTTCATGCGACGATTAGGAGTACACAAGTCTGAAGATACCGCTAGATTTGTAATAAATACGAAGAAATTGTACAGACGAACTGAGTTTATGGTAATCGTTACGCGAATTGCAAATAGTTAGTACATATTTCATTCATGAGAAATAATTTTCATTTAACTCGAACAACACTTTCGAACTTCGATTGTTTTTAAATTGAATTTTAAAATAGTAGTTTCAAAATTATTAATAAATTTATTATTATTATTTATAAATAATTTTTAAAATTTCTACTACTAAAATTTTTAAAATTTTTAGAATAGTAGTTTCAAAATTATTAATAAATTTATTATTATTATTTATAAATAATTTTTAAAATTTCTAAAATTTTCTTTTACGTACTGTTTGCAAATTAAGCTTCATTTAGATACTGTAATAATAAATATCTGTGCATATCACACAGATACATACATTTGAATGTACAGAATATACATTCTTCTATTCCCAACAAATCTATACAAATACTTTTGTCTTTTGCTTTACAATACATTGTAGTATGAATCTATAATTAACTAGAAAATTTATTTTATTATTTATATTATTATTCATAGCAATAAAATTTAAAATATAAAGTTTATTTTATATTATTATTTAAAATATAAAATTTATTTTATATTATAATTTCTCTACCCTTTCTACCTGTTCGAGTCATCTATTTTTTGAAAATCTGTCCTTCTGAATTCTGAAGAGGAAAAAGAAGAACAGCAAACGGACGCTCGAAAAATGATATCACTTGCACACAGAAAATTATTACGAGTTACAAAGTATTTTTCACTCTGCTTTTCACAGAGTAGAAACACTCTTCTGCCACATATAAAATTTCGTAAGTGAATTTTTCTACATATTAAGTATCGAGCAACTATTTTAATTCTCGAGTTGAACGAACTGAATCAACCAGTTCTTCCATTTTTCGTCTCTCCGGCGATTAGAAAAGAGCCAGGGAACTGCAAATAATCAAAAATTCTCCCTTCGAGAATTCGTTCGATCACGAAACGAAGAGGCAGACTGATTTCAAAGGAAACGTCGCGGGCACGCGAACGACGGTGTAACGATAACGATAAACGCAGTCCCACGGCGAAGGGTATAGTTAATTCATTTAGCGTGCAGCGTGCGTTTTGCTCCCGTTTTCCCGAGAGGAGGTGCCGTCGCTCGTCCACGCGAGGAAAAATCGACGGGACAAAGGTTGAAAATAAGAGGACGCGATCAAGCGGAAAATCATTAATTAAAGTCGTCGTATGGGAGCGAGAAGCTCTATACCCGTGCTTTCGATACTGTTATGTCGGTGTGCATGCACAGAACGCCACGTTGTTCGTATGATGAGCTTCCACCGTATGTAGTATGTAAAGGAAAAAAAAAGAAAAAAAAAGAAAAAACAGGAAACAAATAAAAAAAAAATCTTGTGAAAAACGAGGAAAAACAAAAGTGAAAGAAATATCCCGAGCTATTGTAAGAAACGTATCCCCCTTGCTTTTGCAACCAACAAATAAAGAAAGAGAGAGAGAGAGAGAGAGAGAGAGAGAGAGAGAAAAGCGTCTTAATATTATCATGACGAGTCGTGGATGACTCTGTATATGCATGTGAGGAAATGTGTGTGCATCTTAAACGGGTATGTAACGTTAGGATATACATACATACATACATATATATATATATATATGTACGGTTTTTACATGCAAAAGAAGCGAGCAAAATCATTCATTTACATAGCAGAGACCGTTTGATGAGATTTCTGATGGAAGTTTTGTTCGATGGAAGTTTTAAATTAGATTGGCGTGTATGAAATTTCGTTTCTCTAAAATTTGCATTTCATAGATTGACGCTGATAAATGTTCGATAAATTTTGTCAATATTAATTATCGGTGAACAGCCAGAAATAGTTAAATGAATATAAATAATACCGGAAACGAATTTAATGTAGATCAGGTATATTGAACGAGAAGATATATATATACTGAAGTTAAGTTGAAATTCTTAAATTTTGGTTTTCTTATATTTTTATAATTCTGATATTGTTATCTGAAATGGTCCTTATCTGCGGATGAAATTAAATTAAATTAAAAATCATGTGCAATAGTTATCACGAGCAATTGGAATATTCTTATATCTGAATAAAGTTACTGCATATGTAATTAAAAAATAAATATAATCTATTATATTAATTTATAAATATAATCTATAAATAAATATAATCTATATAATCTATTATATCTGATTATAAAATTTATTTGGAGAAACGACATTTCACGCATTGGTCTAATAATATAATAGCTTTGTGAAACTAAATTATATTATCTTGAATTAGGTACACACACGCACGCACACACACACACACACACCATATATATATTTTATTATTACTAATGTTCAACACAGACGATATTTAATATATTTTCGAAGTTTCTGTTGGACAAAGAGACTGAGATATCATTTATTCTATAAATCAAAGTATCTTATCTTTGTTAGATAGAAATATATCGTATCCTTTTTAGAGTTCATTAAGCTTATCTCACAAGTAATATTCACGTGAAGGAGGTGTTGAAAAAGAAAGTAAAACAGTTGCTCGCTTCGGTTGAAAGAACGTGCCAAAATGTGTGAATTTGAAGTAACGATGCCACATTTTATTTGTCACAAATAATTTTATTCGTCCCTTTCTTGCAACGATCACACACATTCCAATTTAACGTAATGTTTGGAGGGGATATGCTGGTGTTTGATGCAAGATGATTAATGTTTGCAACACAGTGATTTCGCTTAACAATCCAGAAATCTTTTCTCGAAAGCATTTGTATGAATAAAACGACAAATTCACAGAAAATTGCGCGGAACGTTTTATTTAATTAAACGCTGAAATGTAATGAACGCCAGCTTAAAACAAATTTCTCTTTAACTTATTCGACGGAACGAATTTCTTTGTAGCGGAAGGAAATAATCCTTGTTCCTGGCATCCAATTTAATAATTAAAGCTGGGACAGCTTGTTTAAAAGAAAACGCGCGACTCGTCCAGAGAGAAACTAAGAAATTAACGCAAGAGGATTTTCAATTATGTTACTCGATAATAACTCATTAATTGACGCCTTTAACATAGA